AAAAATAACTTTGAATTAACGGAATATTTTATAATCTCAGGGTGAATTAAAACTAATAAGATTTAATTTGGTCATAAACAAATTTATATTTTTTTTCTTTTTTCGGTGAAGTAGAAACATTGACTATTAGCAATGAACAAAAGTTTGATTAGACAAATCAAAAATAAAAACTGAAACTGATGACATTTACTACAAAACAAACCAACTTTATTACATCAATCAATGTTGAGTAAAACTAGTCATGTGAACTACTGTGACAGCTGTAGTTTTATAATAAACACTGTGATCGTCACCCTGGAACTAACTTAAGTGATTCACTAAATTTTACAGTTGAAACTGCAGCATCAAAACTTTAAATTTAAATCAAAATTTATCTGCTGGTATTTTTATTAAATTAAAAAAAACAACTACCGAAAGAAATTAATTAATTATGGATTTTTATTTGTTATGAACATGCGGCCAAACTCCGAACCAAACATTGCGTACCCATAATCCTTAAATTGCACAGCAACAAAAGTGGAATTAAATCGAACCTGGTATCGGTTACGCCATTATAACATATGACGCAGCAAATTTATTTAGCCGGTGCGAAAACAAATACTAGGATGATCTACTGAGAAATATATGCACCGCTTCGTCGTGCGAAATACTGTCAATTTATTGAATAGTTTCGAAATATAATCGAGAAAAAAACAAATAAATATAGTTTCGTAATATACAATAGTTTTATGCTGATGAAAGCAACAAAAACATGCGTATTATTTATAGAGGTAAAAATCAGAATACGGAATTTTATTTCTAATAACCTAATTCGTATGATCGAGTAGGTTTCATTGAAACGAAAATTAGAACAAGACACGAGTCTATGAAAAAAATCATTTCTTAAAATTATTAACCAATTTGAAATGTGCTAATACAAAATTCTTAATTTCGAATGTCGGTTCATCATCTTCTAAAAACGATCTTAAGACACAAGACATGGCCTAACAAGTAGATATTAATTTTAAAATAGAAATGGAAACGAATATAACACTTATCGTTCGATATTATTCAGAAAATATGTTAAATAAAGAAGATACGAAGTAAATCGGGACATTCGATCTTAATTAAGAAATTTAAGCGTGGATTGAATGCACCATCAGAAACTAATAATTCCGACTAAAACATATATAAATCACGAGTAATCATCATATTCATTTGATATCTAGACGCGGCAATTCCAATCAAATAATCCCAATATATATCAATTTCGCATGCGAATTAGGATAGAATGAAATATATATCTGAAAGTTGATTTAAAAAAAAAGTTAAAAATCATTACCATTGTTACGACATTTCAGCTACGAATTCCTCGTCATTTTCCGACTTTTGTATAGGCAGCTCAGAGTATAATCCATGTCGTTTCCACAGACGGACCACTGAGTAATCACAAATTTATCGATCGCAATAATCCTATGTTATATATAGCGACTTTTTATTGACATAAAACGAAGGCATTGCAGCATTCGGTGAAGATGGATTTCATTTAAACGAAAAGATCGATCGGTATCTTGAACTAATAAGCGCAACGAATTTATAAAAAATAAAAAAAAAAAAACCGAGCGGTCGTTGGTAATTATAAACTCCCAACAACCTCATTTAACGTGCATACGCATGAAAAAAGACACGAAACAAATGCGAAATAAACGGATGCATGCGGTCATCTGTGACATAACTGCTTACGAAATCCGCTACTACCACTGATATATTTATCGGCAATACCAAAGTCTTCATTCCGAAAATAATTATCCTATAATATATATGTTTGTATTTGATTTAAAGATCAATCATAGTACATAATGCATATGGATGAATTATAATAATCAGACAAGAACAAAGATTTTTATACGGTCTTTTCTCCGACATATACGAGAGAACACATATATAAATTGAGGGTGTGAATTAAGATGACAGATCTCCAAGATACAAATACCAAAAAAAAAAAAAGCACTAATGAACACAAGAATTTGAAGGCTAGACCAGATGCCACAAATAAATTTTACACATATACGTATACATAAATATATGTGTATATTTTAAACATAATATATAAAACACCTAAAATCTCAAACAATTCCATATTATAGGAATGAGGAATTATAACTTGCAATATAGCCAGTGGCAGAGCCAGCATATGTAAAATCTCAAACAAATCCCGAATTCCTAATTGTTATGTAAATATTCATAAAAAAAAATTAATACATTCGATCCTCCCAAACTTAAAATTCTAGCTCCGCTACATAGGTAAATAAAATCCAAAGTGATCTTGAAAATCAGTAAGAAGAAGATTTTCATAGATTGGTTCTCTCTTACATTATATTTATCCAAGCATTTTATTAACCTAGCTTGGAACATGTTCAGGGAAGAACACAAAATCATCATGCACGTACGTACTATCAACTATGTACAACCAAATGAACCATAACTTATGATATATATAATATAATCGACAACCCAAACAACTCAAGTAATACTCGAAGCAAACACGATCGTTTAAAGAATCGTCAGGATAAAAAAATACTACTTTAGTAAAAAAAAAAATCATAGCATTTACTACGACTCTCAGATTATGGCGGAGTAGGTAAAAAAAAAATGGCAGTAAAAAGCCCTACTAGTGAGGGGCAAATATTGATACAAGTGGGGTTAACATTGTAATTTCACAAGTCAGCTTAAAGTGGGATGATTATAATAACGTGGGCTGGGCCAAAACCCAAATCCTTAACCGGCCTTTTCAAGTACGGGGTTCGTTCAATCTTATATATTGTTGAAATATAATATTTGTTTTTTGTCCAAAGATCCAATCTTCATTCATGGATGCTAACCGAGTCGGAACTCATTCGAATTCTAAACCGGAGATGGTGAGTTTTCATTCTCAACAAACCTTATTCCTTTCTATTTTTCTTTTTTTTTTTGTTATAAATTTATCTGTTAAAGGTTAATGATTTAAACTTTTTCCAATTTTGCTGAATTTTATCGTTAAAAAAACCCTAGAAGATTAAGTTGGTGTTTCCAAAAAATTTTAGAACTAGATTATGAAATTTTTTTCTCTCATAATCTCTTTTTAGATGTTTGAAAAATCGACTTTTGTAATTGCTTCTCTTAAAAAAAACTGTTTTAAAGCTATAATTATAAAAGCACCGATGTATGTAGGTTCTTTTTCTATTTAAATTGATTTTTCCTATTTTCAGCTTAATTATAGGATTGTAGGAAGTATACGTAAACCATAAATTTAACTGCTATCGCTGCGCTCATGTGTCGTCGTTTCGACCTTTCCCAACAGTATTTATCTTATTATTTTGTTTTGACAGTGTGATAAGGCCGGATACTTGGGAGGCAAGGACGATGACCGGTTAAGTAAGTTGCCGGACGATATTCTCGTCGATATCATGTCTCGCATGTCGCTTAAGGAAGCTGCACGAACAAGCGTTCTTTCATCCCGGTGGAAACACTTGTGGAAATATATCCCGTTTCTCAAATTCGATGCGGACAATGTATATAAGATTATGGATCACCATTCAGCAGATGAGTTAATCGAAATCGAGGCGCCCAAATACGTAGAATGGGTGAACTCCGTTATCCAATCACACAAATCCCCCACGTTAAAACAATTCAAAATCCATTTCCATCTGGACAGAAGACACACGGACGCAATCACTCGATGGATCGAATTCGCGTTTTCCAGACAAGCCGAGCGTTTGGAGTTGAACCACGAAAGTTTCGTCAATCCCAAACGATATTACTGTTTCCCCAGATTCCATTCCTTTGCCACCTCTAATTCCCTTAAGGCATTGTCTTTGAAAAGCGTGCACGTGAGGGATGCAGCCGTTGAGTTCATTTTACGAAACTGCCCTCGCCTCGAAGAATTGTTTGTCCGTTACTCGCATAACTTTTCGAATCTTGAAGTTTGCGGTTCGTCCCTCAAGCTAAAACGCTTGGATTTACGGTACTCTTTCGAATTCGAATCCCTTAAAGTTTGCGCGCCGTGTCTTACTTCGCTTAAGGTCCCGATCACGGAGGGACTTTTGCTTGAGAATGTTCCAATGCTGGTCGAGTTATCTCTAACTTGTCATTCTATCAAAGGATTGATTTCTGCACTGGCTTGCTGCTTTTTTCAATTGGAAGTTCTTTCCATTTCTTTTTTCGACACGACAACGGTTAGTAAAACAAACTCAACGTTTTGCAACTTACACCCCCCCCTCCCCCCCCCCCCCCCCCCCAATTTATATGTATTAATTGCTCTCCTTAATTTGTGGTTGATTTCACAGGAAACGAGTGAGCTCGATTTCGGCGAGATGCCGAAACTGAAGAAGTTGTCCGTCGAATATAGAAAACGTGGTTACGAAGGTCTTACTAGACTGATAGCTGCTTTGATAAGGGCATCTCCTCATTTGGAGGAATTTGGTTTAACGGTAGCTCTTCTCTTCTATTTTTTTTTTTTTTTTTTTTGAGATATAACTATTAAATGATTCACCTCACTAACAGTTTAAACTTTTAGTTGAGTCAGTCGTTCGACATGGCATTAGAATTCGGCCAAATAAAAAGGTCGTGTGTTTAAATAATTCCACCGCCACCTATTTCTAAAGTTTCAAGTGCAATGCTTCAAATGTTTGAGACAAGTTTTTTTTTTTTTTTTTATTTCAACATCTTGTATACACTTGTTGTAAAAGGGGTACTATTTTTCTTGTTTTGGCCAACGAAGTTTTTAACGAGCCCTCGGTACGATTTTTTTTAAATGAATAAATAAACGACGGTTGTCTCAATCTCACTAACATTCTCCCTAATCTAATGAACACTAGTTCTTGTGTTTTTGTTTTCCGATCATATACTTGCATGATTTATTCACGCGCTATCTCAAGTAGACCTTATTTTACCTCGAGTAACAATAATAGATTTTTTTTTTATTCTTATCTCCCCGGGTGCAGTATAATTGGCTTCCAGCTACGACGAAGAAAGATAGACAATTGGAGGATGCAATAAGGTTTCCCCACCATCACCTTAAAGTCTTCGAGTTGAGTTGCAACTATAGTCGCATTAGCACTGTCATGGTTGACATAGTTGGGGGTATTTTGGAGAACTGCGTCGTGCTTGAGAAAATAATTGTTGACCCCTCGGGTGGACATTTCCCTATAGATGACCGGGAAAAATCTACGAGGAGGAGGAGGGCGAAGAAACAACACGAACCACAAGTGCCTCAACACATTGAACTTGTTATTCTTTAACTTCAACAATTATATAGGCCATTGGCGAAAAGTTTTTTTCGTCGCTCACAATTAATTATATGTTATCTAGTTTGGTGAAGTTATGAATTTATTATTTAAGATCTTATACTGAGTAAAATTAGCATATAAGTTTATCATCCAAACACTTTATAAATAATTTTAAAACTAAGATGTAATTGTTTATCAACGCTTAAAACATCTTATCTCACGGAAGAAATTATCAGCTGTTTAAAATAAGTTTAGCCAAACAGACCGTCAATTATAAATTATATTAAAGTTAATAGTAAACCATGATTACATATTTCTTGCATATGAAGATACACCATAATCAAGATTTAATTAAGACTAAACGAAGGTTACATATTGCTTCTTCATACAAAAAAAAAAAGAAAAAAAAAACCAAGTATGTATGTAAAGTTTTCTAAAAAAAATCTGACTTTTTTCTGATTTTTGAAGTTTTGATGTTATTTTTTGTGATTTTATTTATGATTTTGAACTGTTTGGAGCAGTAAGGACGTTGCTGTGAGTTAACGGGAATCCATCGATAATTATGAAATACAATGGGGAATATCGGAAATTTTCTCCCGACCAATTTTGTTCCATACTTTTAGGTAAAACGAAATAAATCGCCGAGTCGTACCTCGGCGACTCCAAAGTGGTAAAGATATCAATAGCTGCGATTTCCTAAATATTCGCAGGAGTCGTTTACATATATCACAATTTTAATTAATATTTCAGCTGTTTTAATTTTCGAATGTCGGTTCGTATTATAAAAACGATCTTAAGACAAGACATGGCCTAACAAGTGGATAAAGTTTAAAATTAAAATGGAAACGAACATCAATTGACGAATATATATAACACAAAACTGGTAAATATCGTTCGAGATTGATTATTCAGAAAATATGTTAAATAAAGAAGGTATACAAAGTAAATCGGGACATTCGATCTTAATTAAGAAATATAAGCATGGATTGAATACACCATCTGAAACTACTAATTCCGGCTAAAACATATATAAATCATGAGTAATCAGTATCATTTTCCTTTGATTTCTAAATGCAGCAATTCCGATCAAATAATCCTAGTATATAATTTCGCATGCGAACTAGGATAGCATGAAATATATGAAAGTTGATTAAAAAAAAATAAAAAAAAAATCATTACCATTGTTACGACATTTCAGCTACGAATTCCTCATCATTTCTGATGTAGTTTCCGCAGAAGGACCACTGTGTAATCACAAATTCATTCTATATGCTACAGCCACCTTTGATCAGTGACATAATAACGAAGGCATTGCAGCATTCGGTGAAGATGGATTTCATTTAAACGAAAAGATCGATCGGTATCTTGAACTAATAAGCGTAACGAATTTATTAATAAAAAAACCCGAGCGGTCGTCGGTAATGAATTCCCAACAACCTCATTTAACGTGCATATGCATGAAAAAAAGACACGAAACAAATGCGAAATAAACGGATGCATGTGGTCATCTGTGACAAAACTGCATACGAAATCCGCTACTACGTACCATTGATATATTTATCGGCAAACAAATTTGAAGGCTAGACCAAATGGCACAAATACATTTTACACATATACATAAATATATGGGTATATTACTATATTTTAGAACATAATATATAAACACGTAAAATCTCAAACAATTCCATATTACAGGAATGAGGAATTTATAACTTGCAATATAGCCAGTCTGCCACTATACGTAAAATCTCAAACAATTCTCGAATTCCTATTTGTTATGTAAATATTCATAAAAAAAATTAACGCATTCGGCCCTCCAGAACTTAAAATTCTAGCTCCGCCTACGTAGGTAAATAAAATCCAGTGATCTTGAAAATCAGTAAGAAGAAGGATACAAGAGTCCACTTGGCATTTTCATAGATTGGTTCTCTCTTACATTATATTTATCCAAGCATTATATTATTAACCTAGCTTGTTGGAACATTAACACAAAATCATCATGCACGTACTCAGGTACAAGCAAATGAACCATAACATATACATACACACACACACACACACACACACACACACACACACACACATATATATATATATATATATATATATATATATATATATATATATATATCATATATATATATATATATATATATATATATATATATATATCATATATCATATATATATAATATAATCAAGAACCCAAACAACTCAAGTAATACTCGAAGCAAACACGATCGTTCAGAGAATCGTCAGGAAAAAAAAAAAAAGTGAATTCATCAGTCAAATTCATCGATCGTTGTTGGAATATATTTATTACCAAAGGAAATAGCCATGACTACCGTATATTTATCCGAAAATTTCCAATGTAGTAGTATTTTTTTTGCATTTCAATTGTTGAAATATCTATTCTCGATTTTCCGATTTTCTGCTTTTTTTGGAACAAAATTGAAATTGGCTCTCAATTTCGGAAAAATAAAATTGTTTTCTTTCCCCAAAATTGCTAATTTCAATTTCCGCCCATAGTTGAAAGAATGTTTTCCATTTGTGTATATTAAAAGTACAAGGGGTGATGTGAAAAATGTTCAAACCAAAGGGGGTGAAGTGTTATTTACCAGAGAAAAGATGTTTTGTTATAAAGACGGTTATTCAGAAACCAACATAATTGCATTTCAAACGCATATAAATAATTTCTCCCTCCAAACCCTCCCCCAATTCCTCATTCGCAACTGAAATTCTCTCTCCTCTCCTCCGATTACCTCTCCTCCGATTATCTCTCCTCTCCTCCGATTCTCTCTCATTCGTTCCTCCGATTCTCTCTCATCTCCTCCTATTCTCTCTCATTCGTTCCTCCGATTCTCTCTCGTTCCGAGATTCGCGCTCTTGTTATCATGGCAGCAATTGGGATATATTTCGGTAGCAGATACGTTTGTGCCGCGGTATGGAAGGACGGACATGTACACATTATACCTAACGAGAATTCACGGAGAACACATTATCTCTCTCTCTCTCTCTCTCTCTCTCTCTCTCTCTCTCTCTCTCTCTCTCTCTCTCTCTCTCTCTCTCTCTCTCTCTCTCTCTCTCTCTCTCTCTCTCTCTCTCTCTCTCTCTCTCTCCCTCCCTCCCTCATAATTTATATGTATTAATTGCTCTCCTTATTTGTGGTTGATTTCACAGGAAACGAGTGAGCTCGATTTCGGCGAGATGCCGAAACTGAAGAAGTTGTCCGTCGAATATAGAAAACGTGGTTACGAAGGTCTTACTAGACTGATAGCTGCTTTGATAAGGGCATCTCCTCATTTGGAGGAATTTGGTTTAACGGTAGCTCTTCTCTTCTTTTTTTTTTTTTTTTGAGATATAACTATTAAATAATTCACCTCACTAACACAGCTTAAACTTTTAGTTGAGTCAGTCGTTCGACATGGCATTAGAATTCGGCCAAATAAAAAGGTCGTGTGTTTAAATAATTCCACCGCCACCTATTTCTAAAGTTTCAAGTGTAATGCTTCAAATGTTTGAAACAAGTTTTTTTTTTTTAATTTCAACGTCTTGTATACACTTGTTGTAAAAGGGGTACTATTTTTCTTGTTTTGGCCAACGAAGTTTTTAACGAGCCCTCTGTACTATTTTTTTTTAAATGAATAAATAAACGACGGTCTTCTCAATCTCACTAACATTCTCCCTAATCTAATGAACACTAGTTCTTGTGTTTTTGTTTTCCGATCATATACTTGTATGATTTATTCACGCGCTATCTCAAGTAGACCTTATTTTACCTCGAGTAGCAATAATAGATTTTTTTTTATTCTTATTCTTATCTCCCCGGGTGCAGTATAACTGGCTTCCAGCTACGACGAAGAAAGATAGACAATTGGAGGATGCAATAAGGTTTCACCACCATCACCTTAAAGTCTTTGAGTTGAGTTGCGACTATAGCCGCATTACTAATGTCATGGTTGACATAGTTGGGGGGTATTTTGAAGAACTGCGTCGTGCTTCAGAAAATAATAGTTGACCCCTCGGGTGGACATTTCCCTAGAGATGACCGGGAGAAATCTACGAGGAGGAGGAGGGCAAAGAAACAACACGAACCACAAGTGCCTCAACACATTGAACTTGTTATTCTTTAACTTTAACAATTATATAGGCCATTGGCGTTTTTTCGTCGCTCGCAATTAATTATATGGTATCTAGTTTGGTGAAGTTATGAATTTATTATTTAAGATCTTATAATGAGTAAAATTAGCAGATAAGTTTATTATCCAAATATTTTAAAAATTAATTTTAAAAATAAGATGTAACTGTTTATCAACTCTTATTACATCGTATGTGTTTATCAGCCTTTTAAATTAAGTTTAGCCAAAAAGGCCGTTAATTATAAATTATATATAAGTTAATAGTAAACCATGATTACATATTTCTTGCATGTGAAGATAAACCCTAATTAAGATTTAAGAGTAAACGAAGGTCACATATTGCTTCTTCATATAGAAATAAAAAAGAAAAAAACAAGTATGTATGTAAAGTTTTCTAAAAAAAATCTGATTTTTTTCTGATTTTTGAATTTTTGTGATTTTATTTATAATTTTGAACTGTTTGGAGCAGATCTAAGGATGTTGCTGGTAGTTAACGGGAATCCATCGATTATTTTGAAATACAATGGGGAAGATCGGCAATTTTCTCCCGAGCAATTTTGTTCCATACTTTTAGGTAAAATGAAACAAATCGTCGAGTCGTACCTCTACTTCGGTTATTGACGGTCATTTGGGTGTGATATCCCAAATAAGGGACCGATGCTTTGGTGACGATCAATTCGATAAAAGATTGTGGATTTTTTGGTTCGCGAGTTCAATAGAAGCATGGTAAAGATATTAGTGGCGACTCGAACGCTCTGGGTAGATTGAAAATTGCATGTGAGAGGGCGAAGAGGATCCTCACGATTGCTACCCAAGCTACGGTTGTGATTGACTCTCTTTTCGATAAGTTTTAGTTTTTCTTTTTATTAAGGAAATATTCGACATTTACTAAAACTCGGCATGCATTTATTAAGTCCATTTTTAACCCACTATTATAATTCTAAAGTAAACGATAACACGAAACAAGTTTTTGTATTAAAAATGACAAATATTGTGAAACAGATAAAGTATTATATAATAACGTAGGGATTTTGTTTAAGACTTTCCAGTCTGATAATTGTGATTCGTAATTTAATAATAATAATAATAATAATAATAATAATAATAATAATAATAATAATAATAATAATAATAATAATAATAATAATAAATCTTTAGAATATAGTATGTAATATGTTTGAAGCCATAAAAGTTCGTTTGTGCATGTATGAAATATTTATCGATAACAACATTTATAGTAAATAAATAAATGAGAAGATAATATATTGCAGAAAAAAAAAAAAAACTGAAATACATACATTAAAGTAATAATATATGGTAATTCTTTACTGTTCGTTTTTTGAAATTTTTAAAAGATAAAATATTTCGTGCAAATTTTTTGAAATATTTATTTCTAAATAAATAATTAAGAATATGTATCTTCCATTCACACACGGTGTAATTACAATCAACCTAGTATAATACTCCTAGCTGTGTTCCTCAGTTCTCTGTCCAGCAATCGCTAGGGTTTCTGTCCGAAGATCCAAGCTTCTTCGGTTAGAACCGAATTGAAATTCATACGAATCTCGAACCCAATAAGGTAAAGGTTAAAGATTTAATTTTTTTTTTCTTTTTCTAATTTGGTTCATGCGGCAAAAGTTCGAAGTTTTTTTTTTTTTCTCTAATTTTGTCGGTGAACAAATAGCCTGATTTAATTTGCCGGTGTATGAATTTTCTTTCCCATAGCTGATGCATCAACAAGAAATCAAGTTTTGTTGTGGGTGGTTTCGTCGTTGATTATGCCAATTTTATTTGGACTGTAAACCCTAAAAGATTAATTAAGGATTTTATTTTTTATTTTTTTTAATGCTGGTGCTGTATGTTGTTGTGTGTCTCTGGCGTAGAATCCCTGTTTTTTCTGTGCTCAATTTGACTGCATTTTTTTGATTATTTACTTATAAATATATTTGGAGTATTGTATCTTAAGGAATATATGGGAGGAGGCGACGACGATGACCGGATAAGTAAATTGCCGGACGACATTCTCGTTGATGTAATAAGTCGCCTGTCACTTAAGGAAGCTGGTCGAACGAGTGTTCTTTCTCCCCGGTGGAAAAACGTGTGGAAACACACCCCGTTTCTCAATTTCGATGCAGACGATGTACTTCAGAAGATTATGGAGCACCATTCTTCCAAGGATTTAATCAAAATCGAGGCGCCCAAATACGTAGAATGGGTGAACTCCGTCGTCCGGGCCCACAAATCCCCCACGTTAAAAGAGTTCAAAATCCGTTTCCATCTGGACAATAAATACGAGAGCTCGATCACTCAATGGCTCGAATTCGCATTTTCCAAACAAGTCGAGCGGTTGGAGTTGAACCACGAAAATTTCATCAATCCGAACGAGTATTATTGTCTCCCCGATTTTAGTTCCTTTGCCAGCTGTAAGTCCCTCAAGGCACTGTCTCTCGTCAGTGTGCACGTGACAGACGGAGCGGTTGAGTTCTTTTTACGAAATTGCCCTCTCCTCGAAGAATTGACCGTGTGCTGCTCGCATAAGTTCTTGGATCTTGAAGTCTGCGGTCCGTCGCTCGTGTTGAAGCACTTGGATTTGCAGCACACTTACGATTTCAGAACGCTTAAAATCTGCGCGCCGTTTCTTACGTCGCTCAAGGTTCAGATTACAAAGGGGCTCTTGATTGAGAATGTTCCGATGCTGGTTGATTTATCTCTTACGAGTTATTCCGTAAAAGGACTGATTTCTGCAATCTCTTGCTGCTTTTCTCAATTGGAAGTTCTTTGCTTTTCGTTGACGAGCATTAATAAAGAGGTTAGCATAAACAAGAACTGAACTTTTTACTTCTCTCTTTATCTTTTTACTAATTTATAGCATTAATAATAATTATTAGGGTAAATTGCACTTAACCCCGTGTGGTTTGATCTTTTTTCACATGATCCCCTTTTACTTTCCATATAAGCACATAACCCCGTTGTGGTATTCGATTGCGCAAATAATCATGCTCGAACAAGAAAATTTTAAAAGCACACGGGGTTTATATGCTTATAATAAAGTATAAGGGGGGTACTGTGCTGATATAGAAAGTACAAGGGGGTCACGCGCAAACGGCCAAACCACAGGGGTTTAAATGCTACTTACCCTAATTATGAAAGTAATTAATCTCGTGTTTATTTTGTGATTGATTTCAAAGGTAATGAGTGAGCACGGCAATTTCCCCGAGATGCCTAAGTTGAAGAAGCTGTTCATCGAATATAAGACGTGCGGTTACGAAAGTCTTGTTAGATTGATGGCTTCTTTGATAAGAAAATCTCCGAGCTTGGAGGAATTTGCTTTACAGGTAGATCTAATCTTTTTTTTTTCGGGTTTTTTTTTTTTGGAAGTTTTTAATTTTTGGTGTGAAAATCATGTGCAGTATAATTATTTTCCACCGAAGGTTAGGAAAGATAGAGGAGTCGAGGAGGCTATGTGGTTTCCTAACAATCACGTTAAAGTCTTCAAGTTGAGCTCCGACTATAGTCGCGTGAGCGATGTTATGGTTTACATAGTTGGGGGCATTTTGGGGAATTGCGCCGGGCTTGAGAAAATTATAGTTGATACCTCCGATGGATATTTCCCCGTAAATGACCGACACAAAATTGAGAGGAGGAACAAGGCAAAGCAACAACTCGAACCACAAATACCTCACCACATTGAATTTGTTGTTCTTTAGCTTCAAAAAAGGAGAATCTATAGGCCATTAAGCTATCTGTTTTGGTCAAATTATGAGTTTAAACTCTATATTTTTCTTAAGTTTTAAAAATACTAATTTTTATTTCTGATTTGTATTTTTTTTCGAAATTGGTGATTTTGATTGAGCAGTTATGATTTTGGTTCGGCCTATGTTCACCTCTTAGAGAATGCAAACGTAAATCCCGCAAGGGAAAGTCTATCTTTCGACAACGGTCGCTAAGTCGAGCTTGTCACACATGATTAACCTAGTGTGGTTTACGTTTCTCGTATGATTTACAAGATATTATACAAGAGTGTAGGTTTATCCAGTGCATATATAAGATAGGTTGCAGCCTGCAGGTTCTTTCATTACCATGAAAAAAAATAGAAGAATGAATACGTAAATATTACATTTAAATAATAAATGCAAACGCAATATTACATTAAATTATCAATAATTTTTAGAATATGATTTTAGCAGGGGCGTTTATAAATGAAAAAATATTGTTAGGTTGATATCTCGTAAATCGTAATACCTAGTTTGGAGGGGCCGAGTGAAATTACTCTTACAATAAAATCGAAAACCCTAGGCGGCCGAAAGAAACTCTAAAATTACAACTTAAGCAATACGCAAAGGGGCCCCATACGCAAAGGAGACTCTAAATTACATTGAGGTGGTGTTTGTAAAAGCTTATCTAAAGTTATGGACTCTGAGTAAGTTGGTTTTAAGTGTTTCTTTCTAAAAGTTGAGGGTGTTTGTAAATTGACTGGAAAATAAATTTAAATAGAAAAAGCAGGATGATGGGTGTTTAACAAATTATAGTTTGATGTTGCTTATTTTAGGAGAAGCAAAAGTAAAAGTTCATTTTGCAAACATTTAAAAATAGATTATGAGCAAAAAAAAAACCTCATAATCTATTTGAAAAAGATTTTACAAAAACCACCTAAGTAGTTAAATAAAATCGCTAAAGTGCTTGAATAAATTTATTACCGACGAAAACGACGACGACTATATTTCTTTTCGGTGATGCGGCCAAGGAGTGCAGTGCAGATGTAATAGAGAGTCGCTTTTTAGGCCAACTTTTAGGGTAAATTATAACTATTCCTAAGGTATGGTCAAATTACCAAAACCCCCTCATGTTTGGGTAATTACAACTACTCCTCAATTATAAATCTTCTTATATGTCCACCCTTGCGGTTTCAAATTTAGTGGAATCTTCGAGATTATATGAAATATTACTTTTGTACCCGTTTTATCACATTCGAACTCCAAATTTTGAAGCAGCATGATCATAATATGTGTTTTTTGGGTTGTATATATCAGATTGTGGTGCATCATAAACTGTATGTTTACACAAAACGAGTACATACTTAAACACAGTACCCGATATCTAGATGATTGTTGAATTTGACACCACAAGGATGGAGGTGTAAGTAAAATTAATAGTTGAGGAGTAGATGTAATTATCTAAAAAAGATGGGTTTTTTCGTAAATTGACCATACCTCAGGGGTGGTTGTAATTTACCCTCTACTGTTATTTAGCCGAAATTAAGCCTACTTTTTTTCAACTGAAATGCTAATTGTAGCGGGACTTTTACTGAAATTGGTTTATTTGCAGCGGTAGTCTCATTTGTCAATTTTCTAACTTTC